GCGCACAAACACAAATGCGCACACACACACACAAACACACACACACACACACACACACACACACACACACACACACACACACACACACACACACAATCAATCAAGCAATCAATCATTGTGATTGATTGATTGTGTGTGCATGTGTTTGTGTGTGTGGGCCAGTGTTTTTCCACCGGCCCAACAAACTATTAAAAAGATAAAAAGAAATTATCAGCGTTTTTATTTTATTATTATTGTTTTTAATTTCGATTTTCTTAATGTACTTTTTTCCCCTCCTTACAATGTTACATTTTTTTTTTTTAAATCACAGGCGTGTAGAGCTTTTTTTAATCTACACGTCCATTTTTTTATTTTTATTTTTGCGCATTTTTAGGCCTCGAAAACGTTGTCGGGGATTCTTGCGCTCACTCGGCCGCGGGCGGTCGGCCGCCGCGGTCGGGATCCCAACAGCATGCGGTAAAATGGCTCGCGGTCATGACCGCGGGTGATACATTTCTTATGGGTCACCCCCAGTCTGCCACTAAATCTCCTTCCTCCCTCGACAAATCCCCAGATCTCTCTACCAGGCCTCACACTCCTGCTACACACTGGTCACAGGACTGCGCCCCAATACCGGCCAGCGTGATCTATCCGAACCTCGTTGGCTAATAAGTTATTGATGTATGTGGGAAGACATCTCAAGAACATGGTCAAGAAGACCTGTAGATCATAGCATACCCCGGGGACAACAATCAACGCTCTACGACAAAGGTGAGTTCGCGCACCTACTTGTACTTTTTAGCATCAAGTTTCAGGAACCCATCAGTGGCAATCTGTGCCTGTTGTGGGTTGTGCCACCGCGCTTCCACCAAATCCATAAAGCTCTCTAGGGTATGGATCTTAGCCCAATCACCCGTGTTCCTGCTGAATCCCTCTGAGGCGACTAATACATTTAGCCAACGAGCTGCTGAACTCTCTAGATAGGATCCAACAGTAATCACTTCCTCCTCTACCAACGTCCTCTTCGCCCTCACCCACACTGGCACCGTTCTCAACCAGGTGTCGAGAGCCTCATCCTTCTTATCCCCTGAGAAGGTTGAGGGTGGTTTCAATGGGGTCTTGGGGTACCAAGGTTGTTACTGTCGCGCTGGTGGGGCAGGTGCCGGTTGTGGTGTAGCTCCAACCGGTGGACTAGAAGAAGTAGAAGCAACAGTCTGTGCTGCTGCTTCTGAAGTACCGCTTCGTGTGGTACCAACTTGAGGCGCGTAAGGGTCTATCATCGCCAAAAATGGCAGTGATGGCAAAGTTGCTGGCCGGAAACCTGGTCTGTGCATGGCATTCAGGATCTGGTCTAAGGTGTCCTGGATAGTATCCAGTTTGCTGTCCATGTATACGTGCATGGACAGGATGGTCGCCTCGAGAATCTTTGTGGTGTTGTCAAGCGTCGAGTCATCTAATCCCTCAAACGCAGCTTTGCTTGCCTCTCTTCCCTCAAGTCTGACACTTTTATTTCTAATCTCATTCTCTCTTCGGTAGCCTCTTCAAGTTCCTTCTCTAACCTTAAGCAACTCCTCTCTACTTCCTGGAGGTCCATCTGCT